GCTTGGAGGGTTCAGGGTATCTCCTAGTCGAGCAGTCTCGACTAGAGCCTTCTTATTTGTTTTGCTTTCGAGTACGGATAAAATTTTGAACTTCTGACCGTGGACGGATCGGGCCGGGTGCAAAAAAGTCGGCCCGTGCCTACCTCTAGTTCAGGGTATAAAAAAAAAAAAAAGAAAATCCTATGTATAAATGTGTACATAATAACGTAAGGGCTAATGAGAGTCGCCGCGACAGAGAGGAGGTAAAATGTTCACATGGTTATAGAATCGTCGAGTACAGTGAGCATTCGATAAGTGAACATACTACATCTCAATCTCTTGAAGATTCAGATTCCTCTTATTTTCATAAGAGCCAAATGCTCAACAAGTCCAAAATCCAGTCAATAAAAACTGCTCAACATAGCATAGGTAGTTCACTTATAAATAAAAAAAAAATGTTTTTTTTTTTTTTTCTAAAACTATAACGTAAACCCTGTATTTATATATATATAAATAAAGACTTAATAAAGAACTTTTTTAGGGACTTTGATGAAACATCCAAGAATTTTACACTGGAGCTGATTATGAATTTAGATTTCCAAGCATTTTCTGAGGATATACAAGATATATCGAACGCAGCTACAATGGAATTACAAATTGAAAACGGAATAATGAATATTGCCTCTATATGGAAAAAACAAGGTTTTGAAATGGCATATTCTAGAGATGGAATTTACCGTATCAAAAATGTTGATGAATGCTTCCAACTTCTTGAAGAGCATATAGTTCAGATATCCGGCATGAAATCAACACGCTTTGTAGAGCCTTTTATTGATATTGTAGATTATTGGGAAAAAACCTTATCCTACATCAGTGAAACTCTGGAAAAAGCGCTTTCAGTGCAACGACAATGGTTATATTTAGAAAATATATTTCAAGGTGAAGATATACGAAAGCAACTACCTGAAGAAGAAAAAAGATTTATTTCTATCACAGATGAATTTCGATTAATCACTGCAAAAATGTTTGAGGCAAATACTGCTGTTAAAGCTACTCATCTACGCGCACCTCCATTTGTACTTAATCGATTTAATCGAATGGATGAACATTTGGAATTGATACAACGTGCTTTAGAAATTTATTTAGAAGCGAAACGTCAGCTTTTCCCTAGATTCTATTTTATATCGAATGATGATCTTTTGGAAATATTAGGAAACGCTAAACGACCAGATTTGGTACAAACACATTTGAAAAAACTATTCGACAATTTAAACAAACTTGAGCTCAGGCGAGTTGGAAAAGCTTTGAGTCGGTGGCAAGCTACTGCTATGTATGCGGATGATGGTGAGTTTGTGGAGTTCTTGCAAGTCTTGTATATAGATGGTCCTTCAGAACGTTGGTTAAATCAGATTGAAGACTTTATGATTGCAGTCATGAAAGAACAATTAAAACTAACACGAGGATCCTTAAAAAAGTTAGTCGGAAATAGAGAAAAATGGATTTCACTTTGGCCGGGGCAACTGGTGTTAACGACAGCACAAATTCAATTTACAACGGATTGTACTCGTAGCCTAATACATTGCAAAATGGTTGACCAAAAGAAACCACTTCGCAAACTTAAACGAAAACAGATAAAAGTACTGATGAAACTATCCGAAATGAGTCGTAAGGATTTATCTAAAATTATGCGCCTTAAAGTAAACACTCTCATAACGCTGGAGATACATGGAAGAGATGTCCTGGAACGCATGTACAAAGCCAACTGTAAGGACATCGGTCATTTTGAATGGTTTTCACAATTACGTTTTTATTGGCATCGTGAGTCAGAACTATGTGTAATTAGACAGACAAATACGGAACAATGGTATGGCTACGAATACACCGGTAACTCTGGAAGATTAGTAATTACGCCATTGACTGATCGGTGTTATATAACTTTAACGACAGCTCTTCATCTGCATCGAGGTGGAAGCCCAAAGGGACCAGCTGGTACAGGTAAAACAGAAACGGTAAAAGATCTTGGTAAAGCAATAGGTCTATGGGTGATAGTAACCAACTGCTCTGAAGGACTAGACTTTAAAAGTATTGGGAAAAATTTCTCTGGTCTTGCGCAAAGTGGGTGTTGGGGCTGCTTTGATGAATTCAATCGCATTAATATTGAAGTACTATCAGTAGTGGCTCAACAAATTATGTCTATAATGGCAGCTCTTTCAGCTAATGTAAAAGAATTTCTGTTTGAAGGTCAGACAATAAAATTAAAAAGTACCGTCGGACTCTTTATAACAATGAATCCTGGTTATGCTGGTCGGACTGAATTGCCTGATAATTTAAAGTCTATGTTCCGGCCAATTTCGATGATGGTTCCCGATAATATTATTATTGCCGAGAATCTACTATTCTCAGATGGATTCGCGAATACACGTAGTCTAGCCAGAAAAGTATTTACACTTTACGAATTAGCGAAACAACAACTTTCAAAACAGTATCATTATGATTTTGGTCTGCGCTCTATGGTAGCATTATTACGTTATGCAGGGCGTAAGCGTAGGCAGTTGCCCAATACAAATGAAGAGGAAATTGTATATCTTGCTATGAAAGACATGAATGTTGCACGATTTACTGCCGCAGATTTACCGCTTTTTATGGGAATAATGTGTGACATTTTTCCCGGCGTAAGTCTTCCACAGATTGATTATAGTGATTTCAATATTGCAATATATGAAGAATTTAAAGATAATGGCCTACAAGCTATACAAATTGCGGTGAAAAAGGTTATTGAACTGTTTGAAACAAAAAATTCAAGACATTCAGTTATGATTATAGGCGACACAGGAACCGCGAAATCGGTCACTTGGCGAGCATTACAGGGAGCATATTGTAAAATGAATACACAGCGTTTTCAAGGTTGGGAATCTGTAGCTGTGCATCCCATTAACCCTAAAGCCCTTAACCTCGCTGAGTTGTATGGCGAGTATAATTTAAGTACTGGAGAATGGCTAGATGGTGTTCTCAGTTCAATAATGCGAGTTATTTGTGCTGATGAGGATCCAACGCAGAAGTGGCTTCTATTTGATGGACCAGTTGATGCCGTTTGGATTGAGAATATGAACTCAGTGATGGATGATAATAAATTACTTACCCTTATAAATAGTGAACGTATAACAATGCCACCTCAAGTTTCATTATTATTTGAGGTAGGAGATTTAGCTGTTGCTTCTCCAGCAACAGTATCACGTTGTGGTATGGTGTACAACGATTATAATGATTGGGGTTGGAAGCCATATGTGGACGCATGGTTGCAAAAGCAAAAAGTTCGAGCGTATGCTGATTTTTTGCGCAGTCATTTTGAATCCATTTTACCAAATTTACTAGAGTATAAGCACGTACGTTGCAAAGAACCTGTTAAGACAAATCAATTAAATGGGATTATGTCACTGTGCAAACTCCTTGAAGGATTTGGTACGAAGCAAAATGGTATTAACCCACAAAATTTAGAAATTTTAGAAGAAATGACAAAATTGTGGTTTATGTTTTCATTAGTATGGTCAATTTGTGCAACAGTTGATGAGGATAGCCGGCTTAAGCTTGACACTTACATTCGTGAAATTGAAAGTTGTTTTCCAATTAAAGATACAGTATTTGACTATTATGTAGATCCAATCGTAAGGGCATTTGTTTCTTGGGAGAGTAAGCTTTCAGATACTTGGCGTTATGATGACAGGTTCGCATGTGCTTTAACAGTTTAATATCATTAACTAATTTAATTTATTTCAGTTCTCCTTTTTATAAGATAATTGTTCCCACTGGAGATACTATAAGATATGAGTACATAGTATCAAAACTACTTGCTGAAGAGCATCCAGTAATGATTGTTGGTAATGTTGGAACTGGCAAATCATCGACAGCAACCAATGTTATGGAAGCTTGTGATAAAACTAAATTTTGTGTATTGTATGTTAATATTTCCGCTCAAACGACAGCAGCTGGCCTTCAGGCTACTATAGAGAACCGTACGGAAAAACGAACAAAGACTCAGTTTGTACCATTTGGAGGAAAGAGAATGATTTGCTTTATGGATGACTTCAATATGCCTGCCAAGGACACGTATGGATCACAACCGCCACTTGAGCTTATAAGACAATGGATTGATTATAAATATTGGTTCAATCGCAAAACACAACAAAAAATTTATGTCCTTAATACGTTACTGATGGCGGCAATGGGGCCCCCTGGAGGTGGACGTCAGATAGTTTCACCAAGGACTCAAAGTCGATTTGTACTTTTAAATCTAACATTTCCAACTCAAGAAACAATTACACGTATATTTGGCACAATGCTTAAGCAAAAACTTGAACGATTTACAAGCGACGTGCGAGAAATTTGTTTGCTTGTTACTCAATCAACGATTTATCTCTATACTGCTATTATTGGAAAAATGCTACCTACCCCAAATAAATCACACTATCTGTTTAACCTTCGGGATATTTCTAAAGTCTTTCAGGGGTTGCTGAGAGGATCTCCAGAACTTCAAACGACAAGGTCTAATTTTCTTCGACTTTGGATACATGAATGTTTTAGAGTTTTTAGCGATAGACTAGTTGATGATGCAGATCAAGATTGGTTTATTAACACAATAAATGAAACCTTAGGTGAATATTATGAAATAACGTTTCATAGTCTATGCCCATCAAAACAAGCGCCCCTCTTTGGGGAGTTCGCTCACCCTCAAGGATTCTATGAGGACTTAAAGTTAGATACTTTACGTATCTATATGATTAATCAATTGGATGAATATAATAATTTTCCTGGAATGGCTCGTATGAACCTCGTATTTTTTAAAGAAGCCATTGAACATGTAGTTCGCATAATTCGAGTTATTTCTCAACCACGTGGGCATATTTTAAATATTGGTATAGGCGGATCAGGTCGTCAAGTACTTGCCAAACTTGCAGCTTTTATTTTAGAAATGGGTATCTTTCAAGTTGAAGTTTCTAAGAAATACAAGGTCGGAGATTTGCGCGAGGACTTGAAGACGCTCTATAAATTGACAGGCATTAAGCAAAGGCTAACAATATTCATTTTTAGCAGTGAGCAGGTAGCGGAACTATCATTTTTAGAAATAATAAATAATATGCTCACTAGTGGGGAGATAAATTTATTTAAATCTGATGAATTTGATGAACTAAAGAGCGACTTAGAAAGACCAGCAAAGAAAGCTGGGATCGAACTCAATACTGAAGCCTTATACTCATTTTTTATGCTGAATATAAGAGATTTCATGCATATAGTTCTCTGCTTCAGTCCCATTGGAGAAAATTTTCGAAACTATATTCGTCAATATCCAGCTCTGTTAAGTGCAACGACTCCCAACTGGTTTAGACTATGGCCTCAAGAAGCGTTGTTGGAAGTTGCATGCCATTTTTTGAAAGGATTTCAGCTTAATGCCCCAGTTCCTGGAAAAGACGAAAAAAAAGATAGAGATAGTTTAGTCGAAACAACTGAGAACGTACTTCATCGGGACATACCACAAGCATTTTCAATTATGCATTCGAGTGTTACAAAAATCTCACAGCTTATGTTTGAAGAAGTAAAACGTCATAATTATGTTACGTCTCCAAATTATTTGCAGTTAGTAAGTGGCTTTAAGGATCTCCTTGAAAAAAAAAGATCAGAAGTATCCAGCGCTGCCAATCGATTGCGTAACGGATTGTCTAAAATTGAAGAAACTCAGGAAAAAGTGTCATTGATGTCAGAAGAGTTAAAAATAAGCTCAGAACAAGTAAAATTACTTGCTAAGGAATGTGAAGAATTTATTGCTATGATCGAAATACAGAAATCCGAAGCAACGGAACAAAAAGAAATGGTTGATGCAGAAGCTGTTATTATAAAGCGGGAAGAAGTTATTTGTTTAGACTTAGCTGCGACTGCTCGTGCAGACTTGGAAGTAGTTTTGCCGATGATTGATGCTGCTGTAAAAGCTTTAGATGCTCTTAACAAAAAAGATATTGCTGAAGTTAAGTCATATGGGCGCCCACCTATGAAGATTGAAAAAGTTATGGAAGCCGTATTAATACTCCTTGGGAAGGAACCTACATGGGAAAATGCTAAAAAAGTACTTAGTGAATCTACTTTTCTAAATGATTTAAAAAATTTTGATCGTGATCACATCTCAGAAAAAACACTTAAGCGTATAGCATTATACACAAAAAATCCTGAATTGGAGCCTGACAAAGTAGCAGTTGTATCAGTTGCGTGTAAGTCATTAATGTTATGGATTATGGCTATTGAAAACTACGGCAAAGTTTATCGTATTGTTGCACCCAAGCAAGAGAAATTGGATAACGCTATGAGGTCATTAGAGGAAAAACAAGCAGCATTGGCAGCAGCTAAAAAAAAACTTGAAGAACTGCAAGCTGTCATAGAAGAGCTTTATCGACAGCTCAACGAAAAGACCGACCTACTTAATGAGTTACGTGCTAGGGAAGAACGATTACGAAAACAATTAGAACGTGCTATTATTTTGGTGGAATCATTGTCAGGGGAGCGTGAACGTTGGATAGAAACAGTTGCTCAATTAGACATTGCCTTTTTAAAATTGCCTGGAGACTGTTTGCTATCTATTGCTTTTGTGACTTACTTGGGTCCATTTGATACAAAATATCGAGAAGATTTGCTTAATAAGTGGAGATTGCTTATTAAAGACTTACTTATACCATCCACTGCTGAGCTAAAGCTTACGGTATTTCTCTGCGATGCCGTTTCTATTCGAGAATGGAATATTCAAGGTTTACCTGCTGATGACTTAAGTACAGAAAACGGAGTTATTGTAACTCAGGGAAGTCGATGGCCATTGATCATTGATCCGCAAATGCAAGCAAATAATTGGATTATGAAGATGGAAGAACACAACCAGCTTATTATCATTGATTTAGGTATGTCAGATTATCTTCAACAAATAGAACTTTCAATTCGAGAAGGGTTTCCTGTACTTTTACAAAATGTTGGAGAAAGTCTTGACCAGGCTATTTACCCTATTCTTCGCCGTAGTTTTACAATGCAAGCGGGGGAAAAACTTATTAAATTTAATGACAAGTATATATCTTATAACGATAAGTTTCGATTTTATATTACAACTAAGATATCGAATCCACATTATCCACCCGAAATATCATCGAAAATGACGATAGTAAACTTTGCCTTAAAACAAGATGGATTGGAAGCTCAGCTATTAGGAATTATTGTTCGGAAAGAAAAACCAGCTTTGGAGGAACAGAAAGATGATCTAGTAGTAACCATCGCACGTAATAAACGGACACTAATTGATCTAGATAATGAGATTTTACGCTTGTTAAATGAAAGTAGAGGATCTCTTCTGGATGATGATAAATTATTTTCAACATTACAGAAGTCCCGACAAACGTCTGTTCTAGTAAAAGAATCATTAAGCATTGCTGAAGTTACTGAAATAGAGATTGATGCTGCGAGACAAGAGTATAAGCCAGCATCCGTCCGCGCTGCGATTCTATTTTTTGTGTTAACGGATATGTCTAAAATTGATCCAATGTATGTTTTTTCTTTGGCAGCATATATTTTACTTTTTACGCAATCAATTGAACGCAGTCCACGAAATCAAATTGTACATGAGCGAATTCGTAATATTGATGAATATCATACTTATTCGGTTTATAGAAATACATGCCGTGGACTTTTTGAAAGACATAAGCTGCTTTTCTCAATTCATATGACTGCTAAAATACTTTCAAATGCTGGAAAACTGGTCGAAGAAGAGTATGATTTTATATTAAAAGGTGGCATTGTCGTAGATAAACAGGGCCAGGCACCTAATCCAGCAAAATGTAATTATTATATAAAATTTATAGTTTTTATTTTAGTGTCGGAATACAAGTTAAATACCTATGTTGTAATTAGAATTCTGTCATAATTAAGATTTAAATTTTCAACAGGGTGGATTAGTGAACAAAATTGGGATAATATAACAGAACTTGATAAAATTCCTGGATTTCATGGTATTATAGATTCATTTGAAACAAATTTTAAATTGTGGAACGGTAAGTTTCAATTATCTTAAATTTGAATTATAATTAATTTTCGAATTTGTAAAATATTTACTCATCCTCGTTAGCTTGGTATGCTACTGCTTTCCCTGAGCAGGAAGACTTAATTGGCGAATGGAATGACAAGCTCACGGATTTCCAGAAAATTTGCGTAGTTCGTTCGCTACGACCAGATCGAATCAGTTTTTGTATGACACAATTTATTATCAGCAAATTAGGCCCTAGATATGTTGAACCGCCAGTTCTAGACCTTAAGGCCGCATTTGATGAATCGCTTTCGCAGACCCCACTTATATTTGTTTTATCACCTGGAATAGATCCAACTCAATCTTTAATCGGTCTTTCAGAAACAGTCAAAATGTCCCAGAGAATGTTTTCCCTTAGTCTGGGCCAAGGCCAGGCGCCTGTAGCTACGAAACTAATAATGGATGGTATCAAAGATGGTAATTGGGTATTTCTTGCTAATTGTCATTTATCTCTAAGTTGGATGCCAACACTTGATAAAATGATAGCAACTATGCAGTCAATCAAGCTACATAAAAAATTTAGGCTCTGGTTAAGTTCTAGCCCCCATCCAGATTTTCCTATATCGATATTAGAAACAAGTATAAAAATGACTACTGAACCTCCACGTGGAATTAAAGCAAATATGAAGAGGCTGTATAATAATATAAATGTTGGAAATATGGACATATGTAAAGAGCCAAGTAAATATAAAAAACTACTTTTTTCTCTTTGCTTTTTCCATACAATTCTTTTGGAACGGAAAAAATTTCAACAACTAGGGTGGAACGTAATATACAGCTTTAATGATTCAGATTTTGAAGTGTCGGAAATTTTATTGCTATTATATTTAAATGAATATGAAGAAACACCGTTTAATGCATTGAAATATTTAATAGCTGGAGTTAATTATGGAGGCCATGTTACTGATGATTGGGATCAGAGACTTTTGTCGACATATATAAATCAATTCTATAACGAGCAAGCATTAAAAACTCGGAAGTTTCGGTAAGTTCTATTTAGTCTCATATCCGTATAATGTAGTAATATATTTCAACAATACATACACCAGCACTGAACAGACTATAATGAAAATTATGCTTCCTTCCCTTAAATTATATTTTTTTCTAACGATAACGTAAAAGCTATAATTGGCGTAGCCGGTAAGATAAAACAAGTAAGAAAACTCTAGTCGAGACTGCCTGACTAGGAGATACCCTCAAACCTCCAAGCTGATATTCTAATTATTCTGAACTTCTTTTATGCACACATACATGCACTCAAACGCTGGCGCTCTGCTAACTGCGCAGTTAGCAGATGCAGTGTGGGCAATATTATGCTAATTTTTTGGTTAAAAAGTTTTTTTTGTAGACGGACAATCCTAATGAAACTCTCAGAACGTAATCATAATGGTCAAATGTGTGTACATTCCAAACCAAAAATCTCTAGTATTTGAAATGCGTTTTCCACAAATTAGGGGCGTAAATCTGTGAATTACAAAATGTTTATATTTATTATATGTATTTACACAGTAAATCTTAAGCTTCCAAGACAAATAGTGTTCAAATGAGGCTGAAAAAATAATTTTTCGATTATTCTCGATAAAAAAGTTTTTGGATGGCTTATCCAAAAAATAAGTAAAACTCGTACTGCGTATGGTATACACGAGTATACATGCCAAATTTCAGCTCTCTA